ACATGGACTATTGTAAGGTTTTTTTTTTCTTATTCCTTTTAATATACATGTTATATATAATTATTGTCTATCAATATATTAATTTTAAAAATTTTTACTCTTTTTTTTTTAACTTTTTCAATAAAAATTAACTAATTCTGCCGTTGTTATCTTGAAAAGCGTACAATGATATGGTCGGGCTAATAGCTCATGCCTAGAAAACATGTTGGAATCTACAAAATGTACGATGAGGAAGAATATAGCAGGCATGAAGTTCAAAGTTGTGGCCAAAGATTAAAAGATTAACCTCGACGAAGTATCTTTAAAGGTGATATAAGTAAGGTCAAAATTATAAAATAATTCTTAAAGATAAGATATTTTAAAAAATAATTTTTTTTCATAATTTTAATTGCTTTTACTTAAGAAAAAAAAAACTGCGTTGCTGGATTTGTAACTTTGTTTATTTAGTGTAATCAATTTAAATTTGTAGTTACATTTTAAACTTGATTTTTTGTAATGCACTTAATTTCATACCTTAATTCAACTTCATTATGTTTTGTGATGGATCTTTAGGTGTTGATGTGGTGTGTCCGACTTTTGTTTAGTTTAACTTTTTTTAAAATTACTCTTAATGAAATTTCCTCATATTCATATGCACAACAGTATTACACGCCAATTATATTACATAACAAGATGTTTCTCTCCCTTTTTATTTTTCTAAACCTTAAATGCCAAGTATATTACACGATCATTTGATTCATTCCTCACAACAACAAGTTTGTAATTTCGTAAAGAGGTAAGTCAGTCAATGTTAAATTTTTTGTTGTATTTTTTAGTGGGTTTTTTGTCATGATGGTAACAATATTCGTCAATTTTGTTAAATGTGGTAGTTTAGGATTTAAAGAAATCCCTAAAGATGTTACATGCCATGCTCATGTAGGTCGAATGTTATTAGAATGGCATGTAACATATCAAGACAATATGAGTATGGTGTGTAACAACCATGGGGATTTCCCTAAGTGCATGAATATAAGCATGGCCTGTAGCATTATTTATGAATTTCAACATGGTGTATAGCAACTTAGATTGTTAAGTATGGCGTGTAACAACTTAGGATGATGCATGGCATGTAGCAACTTAAGATTTTTAAGCATGGTGGGTAGCATTTTAAGAATTTTAAGCACGATGTGTAACAATTTAGTCATTAGTCATGATGTGTAGCAACTAAGAATTTTTAGGTATGGCAAGTAGCAACCAAGGATTTTTAGACATGATGTGTACTTAGTTATTAGACATTACGTATAACAACATTTAGCTTGTTTTACATGACGTGTAACAATATTAAATTTTTTGTAAGTGATGTGTAGCTTCTTTGGGCTAACTGGTCATGCCATTTACATGCCATTTGTCACACACCAATTTTCATTAGAGTTGTTACATGCAAGCATGTCATGTAACAACTTTATACAATATTTTAATTTAAAGATTTCATTTATAATTTCAATTCATCAATTTTAAGATTTTATGAATGTAAACTAATAAATTCAAGAATTTATTCTGATGTCATCTTTATTTTTTAACTTGTAAATTAACGATAATATGGTGAGATGACAAAAGATAGAACCCAATAACATACCTTGATATTATCTCTGTTCTTTGGTCTATAGATCGATGATAATATGATAAGATAGAGAGAGAGATAAAAAGAGATAATGATGACGGTAAAATTAGAAAGAGTTGGATGACGAGACAGACTTTGATGACAAGATAAAGCTAGATGGCGAGAGAGACGTACAATATTTAATTTATCTTAAATAGTTTAAAGGGTATTTTGATCAAATCAATGATAAAAATTAATAAAAATAATTAACTTTATATTAAAAGTTATTTTTAAAATAAATTTATAAGGTTATCTATTTCTCACAATTTCTTAAGTAATTAACCTCATCTTTAATTTTTAATAACATGTCTAGCTTCATATGCCTCAACCTTTGTTCGATCGGCTTAGACTCCGGTCTGAATGGTAGCTTATGAACAAAGACAACAATACTAAAACTTGACATGTCTTAATATGATCATGCAAATACATCTACCATATTCACAAAGCAATTTCATCAACTTTTGTCTCTCATCAATTGGGAATGATGTGCCGATGTTAACTTTCTTCCTATTCTCTTCATCTCCCAAATTAAACAAATCTATGGACTCTTGATGGGGCACTATCTTTTTCTCCTCTTATTCTACTAGGCTCGACAATTCAAGAGGCAAGTAATAATTATCTGCATTCTCTTTGTCATCCAACTCACCAATATTTATGATTAATCTTCGTATTCATTATTTAGAGACTTGAAAATAGATGAAATTAGTTAGATATAGATGACTGTGTAAGGGAAAAGGAATTTAAAAAAAATTAAAACAAAAGAGCAAAGCATTTAAAAAGATTATAAAAATTCACCATGGTTGTCATAATTACTAAAATGATTTAAATAACAAAACAAAATTCCCGAAGCTCTTGGGCAAAAGCATATAGCAGAATTTGTACGTTGCGTTACTTTTGTAAAAGGCTCAAAGGTAACGGGCAGCTCCATGGCCTTCCAATTGATTAGCACCATGAAGTGAGAACCCAGATATCTCATTGTCTTCTCCACCGATCATTTGCAACCAAGAGCTCAACGAAAGCATCCTCTAGAGTCCTGTTGAATTCATCGTCTCCCAATTTTAATGCTCAGAGCGAAAGGTCTTACGAAAGTGCGGAATGCACATTCTCTTGGTCTTTAAATCTTGCCCCATGGAGCGAGCTAACCTCCTCTTTTTCTTTTTAGCCACCATCGTTCTTTTTCTTGTCTTGTATCCTAAACCAAACATCTCCTCATTCTTGATCGGTAACACTTTCCTTTTTATTATTGGAAGATTCTTCCATCAATCGTACTCGACGCGACATCCTCTCCCCTTCGTTGTCCAAACTCTCATGTTAGTGGTTCTTGATAAGCATAGAGTGGGCACCATTAACGTTTCAACAGTGTAAGTTGTGCTATAAATTTTGAAAATATCTAAAGAAGCATTCAAGTTCTTTCGTCGATTCCACCTATGGAGTGGTTATTAGTAAATCTTCTTCACCAGACACATATTAATTGATTTTCTAGTATGAATTTGACTTCTTGGTGTATAGAAGAAAGATTAGCACCAGTCATGTGGATCCAAGATCGTCCCAACAAACATACCCTAATTTTATTTAATTGGATTAGATAATGAGGGTGCTCAATAAAAAAAGTTATCTACTACCTTCCTTAAATACAATACATATTGATTTAAGGTAGAAAAATAAAAAGCACCAGGTCAGTTTCTTCTGGTGTTGTTTCATTTTTCATCATGTGATATTAATTATAACTTTTAGATTTAGAGATATATTTTCAAATGTTACTTTTTTGAAAAATCATAACTTTTTATTAAAAAAATCATTAATAATGTTGTAATCACATTATGTCATACTATGTGATATAATTTATTAATTGATGTGATTTTCTAATAATCATAATTTTTTATACGAAAAAATATAGCTTTTCATTTATAAATTTTCATACAAAAAAATATAATTTTTTCTTTTGAAAATGCATCATCATATAATATTTTAATCCCAATTTTGTAACTAATTGATGAGTTTTTCTTAGTTTGTTCCTAAAATTACACACTCAATCAATAGTACTATACCAACCCTAAATGATGATGAGTTCATACTAGATATATTCAGATCATATTCATACACACCATTTAGGACATGAATAATTTTATTTACAAAAGTAAAAAATAAAATGCTGATGTATGACCCAATAATAGTTGGTAAAGTTATTTTTCAAAATAAATATATTGGATAAAGTGTTTTATATATTTTGAAAGAAGAAATTCGAACTCTACTCTTTTTCAAAATGAAATCATACATTAATTAATGAACTAAATATTTGAGTATAAAATATTTAATAAAGTTATTATTACAAGCAGAAATTATTTTCATTCAATAAATTAAAATCCTCAAATTACTTGTCAATTATTGAATTCCATGTAAAGATATTATTTTAAAAAATGTTAACAGATGTCTTATTAAGATAATATTCATAATTAATGCACCATATCTCTTTAAATTTGATAAGAATGGTGTATTAAATAAAAAAATTATTTTTCAAAATAAAATCTTTAAAACCAACAATAGTTAGCATGGACAAAAATTAAAACAAATTAAGAATGGCAGACTAAATTTTTTTTAGACATCCAATAAGACTAGTGAAAATTGGTAGATCTGTCAGCAATAATAAGCTTTCAAAGCTGCATTTAAGTTTTCAGCTGCCCCCTTTATCTAGATAGTAAATGATATTAATGGCCATTCCTACAAGGTAAGCAAATAATTGAATAACAGAAAGAGAAGTAAAAGATCAGATGGCTTTGCTGGCCTTCTTAAACATGCTAGCTAGATAAGGTAGATGGTAGATACCCCATCAGAATTTTCCTGCACATTGAAGGTGGTGGGAAATATTAATATGTAGCACACCTGTTACAACAGTAATATTTATAGAAAAAAATTTGATTAATATATTAATTTTTTAACGTTGGTTTGCCTATAATCTTGTTGATGAAAAAGTAAGATTTTAATTTTTTTTGCAAGTAAAAAAATATATTAATTTTTGAAAAAAGTTTGATCAAAATTGTAATTTAATAATTTTTTTTTAAAAAAATACAATGTTAAAGGTGGTGAAATATTTGTCTAATAGATCCATAAATAGTCATCATGGTGTTTAATTTATTTACGATTATGAGCCTAGTAGCCTGCTATTGTGTTTGCTTGGTACTATGTCCTAGAGAAACAACGACCATACATAGAAATTTTTTAATTATTTTTAAAAATATATTTACATTCCAGCGTTCGATTTAAGCTAATACTTAACGTTTAATTTTCAATTAAAAATATATTTTTAAAGAAAAATAGAAAAGGCCAGGAAAAGGGGCACTTAAACAGATTTTAAGCAGCCATTGTGCACCACGTAGGCTATGACTCCTCAATATATTCTCCCGTAAGGAATTTGGTTTGCACCCATCAAAACGCACTCAAGCAGAAGTGAAAGAGCAGAAGGAAATGTCAAAATCACCGGAAGAAGAGCACCCACAAAAAGCTTTGGGTTGGGCTGCCAGAGATAACTCTGGAACCCTCTCCCCTTTCCATTTCTCCAGAAGGTATACTGCCTATCCCATTACCTGTTCTTTCTGGCAAAAGTATTTTCTTTGTTTTTCGTTTTAATCTTTTTTTGTTTGCTAAATTTTGTCTCATTTTACTCTTTCTCAATGTACTCTTGGCTAGTGTTCACGTGTGTGTTGAGGTTGTTTAATATTTCCCCAGTAAATATGAACTTGACTGATGAAAAGATTCTGTAGAGATGAAGCTTTTGGATTATTTAATTAATAAGTCCAGCATCAGCGGTTTAGATTATTATTTTACTTTTATTAAATTGATTTGTATCTTGGCCAATATAAAATTTTATTTGTACACGTTTTATCATGTAAACAGATAAAACAAAATGGAAATATCATGTAAACAGAGGGGGCAATGAAGTGGTTCACGAATTGGCCAAGCATGGAGACAATGGAGGGATCTTTCTCCTGATTTTCTTACTTTAATAGCTCATGAAAATGCAAACTTTGTTCTTCTCTCTATATAAAAAAAAGAACCCTTTTTCTTCGGCAGTAATAGACGGCGATAAAGTTTTTACAAAAAAAAAAAAAACCCCCTCCTGGGTTTTGTCCAATAATTGATGAAATATCTCTTTTACCTTGAAGAAGGGGGGAAAACCTATTTTGGCTCATATTCTTTGGTACATCTATTCTGCCTCATTTATGACTGTAACATGCGGTGTCCGAGCGGTTGTTATCAGCCTGTAATGTAACTTTATTTATTATGTCAAAGTTTTCTGTAATGTGGTCAAATCATAATTATCACTAATAAATGTTGGCATTGTTTGTTGAAATTTCTTGAAAATGAAATTATAGAAGAGGATTTACTAAATAATTATAATCCAAAGGTTGGGAAACAAAAATGATAGTTTGTTTGTAAATAATATAAAATTTTAAGGCAAAGATTTAATGTCTCACATTGGACTATTTGGACTGCTACTTTTTCAGACTTTTTACCATTTCTCTTACAAAATTATCTAATATAGTATTAATTCCATAGTGAAATGACATTAAAATATTTACGCTCAAGTCATTAGTAGGGAGTTTTTATTAGTCACATTCTTATCCAATGTGAGAAGAGGTATCATATTGGCAAATTGATTTATTCAATCTTTACTTATTTCTAATTTTGGTGAGGATGGTTGTTGCAATTTTTGTTTCAATTTTTTGCAGGGAAAATGGTGATGATGATGTCACCATAAAAATTCTTTACTGTGGAGTTTGCCATTCAGATCTGCATACTGTTAGAAATGACTGGGGTTTCACTCGATACCCTGTTGTTCCTGGGTATGATACTTATCTCATATTAGCATGTATATTCCCTAGATGATGATGTCTCTTTGTATTTCTAAGGTTTGTAGTTCATGCTGCAAATGCATAGCCAACCACACGATTTACCTATTAATGTCTTGGAATGTGGTGAGGCGTATTCTGTTTTGATGTGTGGCTAGATGATTATGTATTATTTCTGACAGGGCACAGCCGAGCATAAGTAAGCTTTGTGCTACTTGACTACCAACTTTCAAAATGGCTGGTGCTTGTCTTTGTAGTAGCTAATATCTTGTAAAGAAGATAGTACATCCTCCTTGTTATATCTTATATATTTGTGGCTGAACTATTACTTTTCAAGGATTTTCATTTCTGTAGTACCCTGTTCTAACTACTAAGAATTTGGCCCATTCAGACTTCTCTACAAAAATGTCATAGTGAGCATCCAAAAGATTTTTTCTGATATTATACATTGCTATATGTTTCATTTCCTATGACTCCATTGATTTCATCTATTTCTTGTTTTCTTCAGTTCAAACTGCCTTGTTCATTTGGAGTTAGTCGGCACATCTAAGTTTTTAGGTAGAGCTTTTTCATGGTACTAGCATTCTCTTACTTGAGATAGAACATTATGAATATATTTAAAAGTTAAATTTCCAGGAATAAGGAGATTCCATAGTACCAAAAATTTGTGTTCCATAAGACTCGAGATTCAGAAATTTCAGCAGTCATGTAGATTGTAATACTTATGGCCATTGAGGTTCACATCTACGGACCATCCTTAGAGTTTATGCAATTAGCTACTAACCACTTTGGATGACTTAATAAACTTACTGAGCATATGATCTTGAATAGAGCATGGTGGAAGATTATAGCTTATATAGACAATCCTACATATTGTTATTTTTGAAGTTACAAACCAACTTTTATGGCTGCAAAATTAGAAAGATGACCTAACCATCAGTTGCTTGGATCCTTACTTGTGCTGTGAATTCAAAACTGTACAGATTGAGGTTCTTCAAACAAGAACTACTCTAAATTTGCTTAACCATAAAGAGATTAAACCATCAAACATGAGCTAAATTATGTCATTGTTGACTATATAAAGACATTCCATTGTAGTATTTGACCATTCTAAAATTTTTGCTAGCATAATTAAACACAGAAAAATTCACTTTCAACTAACTATTGATTATTCCACTGGATTAAGGAGCTCACCATTTGCATGCAGTTGCAAACTACAATCGTGCAGGTACATGAAATATTCTTTGAATGTAGAGAAAGGGTAGACCTTATGTATTTTCAGTTTGCAGCTTTTGAGGTGTCTTGACTATTTATTGTAACCAGAGGTTTCTATATACACTTTAGGTTTATGTAGCCCCCGGGCATATTTATCAGGCTGCATATTTAAGTAGTGGTGTTTTGTTTTCTAGGACTTGGGTAAAGCATTGTCCTAGATGTTATATTCTTTTATATAAACAGGATAAGACCTGGTTATCAGTTACTTTATCCATTGAGATTATATTTTCTTTAAGATTATTAATGTTTTGGTTTCCAATTCCTCAACTAAGAGACCTCAACATATATCCAGTTTATTGTTGCAATGAATGCATTTACTGGTCCAGACAGTTATGTTTTGGTAGTAGAGTGCTCAACGACCAGTAGTTGATCAATTATTCTTCCCAAGTTTCAAACTCCCATTTCACCAGGATACATTTAATGATGGGTCTAATGCCAGGTAAATGTTCCTGGACTGGCATAAGTGAGTGGATGTTCTGGTCTTAAAAGCAGCCACTTGATGTAAACGTGCTGATATTATGGTTGCCCAGAGCAATTCCTGGGAACTTGTGTAGACTTATTAACCTACCTATACATTACTGACTTTCTTTAATATCATCTCTAAATTGTTGGATACTGCATAAAAATAATATCTAACTAATATCGTGAATGTTTGTTTTTTCTTTTTTTTTCTTCTTTTGAAATAGTGAGAACTGATTTGAAACTGGTCAATTGAGTAGCTAAGTAAATCATTTGTGGAAGACAGTAGTATAGTCTGGTCAGTATTATTATCTTCCAAGAACAATTGCAGCAACCTACATAAATAATGCATGCTGTTGTTGCTCTGCAGGCATGAGATTGTTGGTGTTGCAACAAAAGTGGGGAATAATGTGACGAAATTCAAAGCAGGTGGCAGGGTTGGAGTTGGGGTTATGGTTGGCTCCTGCAAGACATGTGAATGCTGCCAGCAGGACCTGGAGAACTACTGCCCTCGTGTGATATTTACCTATAACTCTCATAATCCGGATGGGACAATAAATTATGGTGGTTATTCAGATATGATCGTGGTTGACCAGCGCTATGTGGTTCGCTTTCCTGATAACTTGCCAATGGATGCGGGTGCACCGCTATTATGTGCTGGGATCACAGTGTACAGCCCTATGAAATATTATGGAATGACTGAGGCAGGCAAGCATTTGGGCGTTGCAGGACTTGGTGGGCTAGGTCATGTTGCTGTGAAGATTGGTAAGGCCTTTGGGTTGAAAGTTACTGTCATTAGTAGCTCCCCATCGAAGGAGTCTGAAGCAATCAATAGACTTGGTGCTGACTCATTCCTTGTTTCCAGTGATCCTTCAAAAATGAAGGTATGTGATAAATTAATTTTGACAATTAGTTGAACTAACGTGCTCTTGATTCCTGAGTTTGACTTTGAACAATTTAATCACGAACGATCACTGAGTTTTGATCAAGTTGCGTTTTGAACTGCCTTTCAACTTTTGGCAGGCACTAAAAATTTTATTGCAGTTCATAGGATTGGATGTGTCAAGATTATGCTTCTGCTTACTATTGCTTGATTCCACAAAACTCAGCACACTGAGTTAAGTTAGAAAGCACTTTGATGATTATATATTGTAATCTTGTTTGAGTGTACTCTTTGCAGTCAGCTATTGGTACCATGGACTATATCATTGACACAGTGTCTGCTGTTCATCCCCTGCTTCCACTGCTTACTCTGCTGAAGGTGAATGGAAAACTGGTCACTGTGGGGTTGCCCAATAAACCACTTGAATTGCCTATTTTTCCATTAGTTTTGGGTAAGCCTCCTTTGTGGGACTCATAAGTTATGATATGTGTTCGACATGCAATTTCTGTGTGTCAATTTTAGCTTCTAGCCACTGACACTCCCTCTATCCTTCATATGAAACAAAAAACATTTCTCTATATAAGATCAGGAAAGGGGGAAATAGAAAATATGATGATAGGTTCTAGAATCTCTCAGGTTATCAATTGTAAGGGCATGATAATAGGTCTAAAAGTTTCTCCTATTCAAAAGTGGGTAAATTGTCATGAGTTCAACTTTTGCGTTTTAGTTTAACTGAAAACATTTACGGAAAGAAGTTTAAAGCCATAGGTAAGAATATTAATATATAATTTCTATAATGGAAGCTTCCATATCATGTCAAGGTGATATCCTTGTTGACTGCTGTGACACTTGCCTTGAATTCCAGCCGCTTTCTAACTATTTGGTTTACAGGACGGAAGCTTGTTGGAGGAAGCGATGTTGGAGGGATGAAAGAAACACAGGAGATGCTAGACTTTTGTGCCAAGCACAATATTAGTGCCGACATTGAGCTGATCCGGATAGACGATATCAACACAGCAATGGAAAGGCTTGCCAAATCTGATGTCAGATACCGTTTTGTGATTGATGTGGCAAATTCCTTGTCACAGTAGGTTCATTGCTAACCGGCAAGCCCAGATATTATAATAAGTTCAATGGTTATGCTCTAGTATACTTTATAGAAGTTAATGGAGAGGAGAAAACAGATGAATTTTTGATGACTTGGACTTATGTTGGTTCCCTGCATCTATGCCCTTTCAATTGTTTTATGCTGCTGGGAATCTAATTCATGTAATGCTTTTGCAATCAATATACATATGGTTTTGCATTTTATGTCCTCTTAACTACTCCTTTCGACTTTTACACTGTTGCCCCCGCTAGGGTTGAACTCGTGACTCATGACCCCAGCACCAGCGCTATAGGATACTGTAAGCATATATGAAATGTTTTTCTGCTGTTTACTTCGTCTTATCAAAAAATATTTTTTCCTAGCTATTGGATCTGGCAATAGCATTAAGTTTTCTACGATTGCCTTGATAGCAACCGCTTTGAAGAGTGAAGCATTTCTTTGGGTAACAACAATGGAGTTGCTACCTTTCCTCAGTTGCCTAGCCGCTGGGACATGATAATAAAAATTCTTTGGGGAATTGATAAAAACAAGTAGGTCTCAAAAGATTTAAATGCCCCCAACAATAGCATTCAATCCTAATTAGCAAATTTTCTGCCACATAACATTCGATCAAACAAAATTTCCTGCCCATCCTTGTGTTAGTTCCATGCAAGATCTTCTATACTAAAACCGTCATTAACGTTCATCCTTCATTTACAATGGCACCGTCCTTAACCAAACTGACTTGCTTCTACCTGACCTTTCTTCAAGTCATCAGCATTGTAAATTTTCGAACCTTTGCTTGCCGACCCATTCATCCTACTAAAGGGTTCATCTCTCTTCCTTTACATCGGACATACTACCACATACAGGGGCCCTGCCTGAAGAGCAGCGTTATAGCTTCATCGAAAGGGCTCAAAAATTTTGAAGCCACCAACTGAGATTGTTAACAGGTAAAACATAATCTTGCTTTGACGCTACTGAACACGAGAAATCAGACGGGCAATCGTCGACAGTTTTCCAAAACTTTCTAGGCAAAAAGCTTTAAAACCAGGATATTTATTAATAATATAAAATAAGTTACTCCTATAGTCATTTTCTTTTAATATTTAACTAATCATTATATGACACTTGAATATTTACTTTATTAATTATTACATCATTTTTTTGTTTAAAGAATAAAATTTGAATTTTTTTTTCAATTCAAAAAAAAAAAACTAGCCACTATGTGTGAGGAAATTAAGAAAAAGAAAATTAAAACTTTTGTTCAAGTTTTTGTTTCATTTTCACTACATCGTAGCTATTTAATCGACAGAATTCGCTAAATTTATACTAAGAACTAACCAAAAGAATGTTGACATCTTTTGCTAGGTATGGCGGTTTGAAGGATACTACGTGGCTAGTTTTAGAGCGAGCCCTCCTCGAGCCACCACCGATAATCAGGGTTTACAATGGTTCACTCGCGTACTACAACGATTCTGTCAAGGACGGATTCAAAATTTTTTTTAAATAATGTTATAATTAAAATAATAATAAAAAATTATAAAAACTAATTTTTTGGATGGAATAATTTAGATTTTAATTTTTTTTAATAAAATATTTTTTATTTTATTTATGTAAAATTTAAATATTAATATATAAATAACTTTTTATAAATTTATTTGGATTTAAAGTTTTTGATCCCACTTTCTATAAAATTAAAAAAAAATAATAAATTCATTAATATAGTTAACTATATAAGACTTTAACATAAATAATATATCAAATAAAAATTTTTAACATTAACACTCCTCTCAGTGTCGGTCACGCCGTGGGTCCGGTCCTGCTTCAGGACATCTACAAGTGGTTCCAGCTGAATGTCGTCCATGATGTTGATGCTGCCAAAGTGAAAGTTTAAATAGATGGGTATCTAAAATTAAAGGCGGATGGTCGTGGAGGGACATCGCATGCCTTCAAACGTGGGGTATATGCCCAAAATGATGATTCCTATTATACGATAAATATGGATCAGTTGTTAAATATAAAATTTTAATAATATTTAATAAAATATTAAGTTAAATTAAAACTTTGTATATGATAAGTATGAATCGATTGTTAAATATAAAAAAATTAAATAATATTTAATAAAATATTAAATTGAATTAAAACTTTGTGTATGATAAATATGAATCAATTGTTAAATATAACGTTTATTTTGATAAAATATTAACTTTAAAAATTACACAAGGATGTATTAATTAACAAACATGTTCCATACGATAACTTGATCCTTAACATACCCACACTAATAAGGAGATATATAGCATTGCAAAACCACATATTTGAAGCTTAAATGAGAAGTTAATCATCAATTACGTTCATTTAAATTTATGAATTTTTAAAAAAAAAAACACTGAAATATCATTCATATTCTAATATTATGTTCACGAGATTTATCATTATCTAAGAAGCGTTTAGTTCTTGTCTTGTTTGCATTTCGACATCTTCCTCGTTACCTACTCACACTTGAATAATCACAACTCAGACCTTGTCCTACATTCCTTGCATCCTTAGGCATCCATTCTTCATTTTTTACTGCTTTATAATTAATTAATGATAGCATTATTTTAAAATAATAATAATAAAATGAAGTAGCATTATTTTATCCCAGGTTACATGCAGGCCCATGGCCTTGACCATGACCTTGAATACCATAAAATTTGGTAGGTTAATTTACCTTATATTATCTTTCAAAAAAAATTACCTTATTAAATTAATTACAAAATTGTAAGATAAATAATAGGTTTGGCTTGGTAATTTTGTAGTCTTTTAAGGGAATGGACAACGACTTATAAAAAGAATAATTAAACTTTTCTGTCTGTGAGCTCGTGATTGAAGGTCAACAAGTAATTGAATGTAACATAGCGAAACAAGAAATGACTTCATTCATTTTTTTAATTGTAATCAGGCTTTATATTATTTTATTGAAGAGGGAGGATTCGAATTTAAATTTTTGAGTAAAAGAAAATGTTCTTACCGCTAAACCAAATATTTAATACAATGAAGCTAATTTTTTTAGTACATATGATTTTTTACGACGCTTTCTTTGTCTGCAGTTATTATTATATTATTATTTGTACCTTTTTCTTCTTTGTTTTATATGTCTAAAAATATGTTAAAACTAACAAAAATAATGAAAATTGAAATCGTATCTGTTAGAATGAGCTGCATATGACAAAAATGTAGGTCCAACTTAAACCTAATTTCATTTGAAAATAAGTAAGACCTTTTGTTATCCATGCAAGTTAATTAATTTTTAATTAATTTCTCAAATATTGTTTATTTTTTATCTAAATAGATCATTTCTTTTTTTTAAATTTTGAGAGTAAAAATTAAATAATACCCAATTAGAGGCCGTGCTAGTCAATTTTTTTTGGGGTGCTAAAGACTAAAAAGAATAAAACTTAAAAATTTTTAAAACTAATATATTGAACTTAAACATTAATAATCAAAAGATTTATAATAGACAATAATTTTATATAATATGTAAATAAAAAAAAACAAAAAGAAAAAAAATTATAATAGTGTTCTACGAAAGTTTTGTTCGACGATGGTAATATCTTTCTTAATATAAACAATTAAATTATCTGTAAGAAACTTATCATCAATTTTGTTTCGAAATCTTATCTTTGTCAATGTAAATGAAAAAAAAATTAATATAATCAATATATAATATTCTTATTTTATTGTATTTAAGCTTATAATACTAAATATTAAACTATAATGTATAAAATATAAATAGTTAAATACGATACATAGAACTAATAATTTCTTCTTATACTCAAGATAATTTTTTGTCAACTAAATATAAAACGTAAAGCACATTAAATTTATATACTCAAGATAATTTTTTTTATAATTAGGATTATAAAAAATAATATATTGGTAAAATTTTAAACAATAACCAATAATATAATGTTAGAACTTATATTTGAGAATTGCATATATAATATTTTTTTAATTTTTAAAAATTAAAATTATTAAAAATAAAATCCATATAACAAAAAAAAAATATGACAAGTAGAAGATAGAACTTACTTAACAAAAAAAAAAGAATATAGGTGATGATTCATAAAAATTTTGAAAAGAAAATCTATAGAAACTTAAAACATATGAGCAAATAGAATAGAATTCAAATAATAATAATAATAATAATATAAATAGAAAAATTAAATAAAAACTTTATCTCTTTATAATTTCATAATATAAAAACAGAAAAAAAGAGAGTAAAAGATGGGCGGAGAAACTTAAAAAATTAAAAAAAATTAAGATTTTGAATAAAATTGAATGAAGCTTGTAAGGTTATTTTATTTTTTTAATTATATTAATTATTAAATAAAAAATATTTTAAAAAGTCATTAACAAATATATAATATATAAAAATTTTTAAAAATTTTGGGGAGTCATTACAGAGGGACGCTTCACCCCTAAACCCAATAAGTCAATTAATTCTTTAATTGTTACTCTTAAAATAACAATTAATTAATTATTAATTATAAAAATTTATTTGATTAAAAATAAAAAACTTAATTAAACATAATAAAAAATAGAAATTTTTTAAATTTTTTCTGAATAATTAAGAATTTTTGTGAAGTATTACGCTACCTAAGATAAAAATAACTAAACCAAGACATCAAACGATTAAAGTTAAAGGGTGACAATATTTTTATAGATTAAAACAAACTGGATTTTGGACCAAGTATATGCGTTTGGTAATCCCCACACACCAACTATAAGTATCAAACACACCATGCACAATATTTCACACGTCTCATAACTTGCTTTGTCCCCTCCTTTCTTTAAAAGAAGAAATTAGAATGGCTGCTTTACTAATCTTTGCTTGTCTTTTGCTCATGCATTTGGCATGCAGCTGGCCTGTTGATCCAACCAAAGGCTTTGTTGAACTCCCATTGAACAAATCTAACTTCCATAATGACAAGCCGTACGACTTACCTGTAAGCGACCGCTACAGCTTTGTAGATGGAGTTCACAAGCTTTGGGTTTACTCCACAGACAAACCACTGTTCAAAAATAGCGCCACCAAGCCTCGATCGGAGATTCGTATAAGAGTAAAAAATCTCTATAATTTAGTGTCCGTAGATCCTTTAACCCTTGTGTTATGGAAGTTCTCTGAAATCTTTCCTTAATCTCTCAGGGCTATGACTATTCTTCTGGAGTCTGGCAATTTGAAGGCTACGGCTACGTGCCCTGCGGAACCACTGGTGTTTGCATCATGCAAGTGTTTGGAGCAACTCCACCTCGAGCCACAACTTTAATGCTAAGAGTCTATAATGGTTCACTCTATTACTACAAGGCAGGTCCAGTTGTGTTGGAGAACATCTACGACCGATGGTTTCGGGTTAATGTAATCCATTATGTAAATGCTTCGAAGTTACAGGTTTATATTGATGGTGTTCTAAAGCTGGAACCTCCTGGCCATGGAGGCACAAACCATTATTTTAAATTTGGGGTTTATGGAGAAAATGATTCTTCTTACTATATGGAATCCCGTTGGAAGGGCATCAAGGTTCTGACGAAAATGTGATTGACCCTATTCTTACATATTATATCATGAACTTTCTCATAAAAAAAATTGTGAGACAAATGTCACAGCATATTGCTGAAATAATAAATTGTATAATCTGTGTGATGTCTATACATTTGTACTTTAGATTCCAGAGAGTTCGCTGAATATGTGAATATACAGTACAATTCAATTCAACAGTTTGGATTTTGTTCTATGACCAAGACAATATAAGAAATTAGTTAATTTTCTTGCTCATTTGTTTAGGTTAATGTTCTTAATTAATTTTCATATATTTTTCTTATGTTTGCATTTCAATGTTTTTTTTTAAATATATATTTTTGTTTAAAATGAAAAAAATCTCTAATCAATTGATCTCACAAGTAATCAAATGAGAATAAAACAAGTCGTTTCTCTAAAATGATAGGGATATAATTTGATTTTTTTTTTATTTCTTATGAGGTAGGTTTTTGTAAAGTTGTCTTTTGAATACATTTACTACTTTTTCAAAAAAAAAAAATTGAGTCTCTAATTGACTGTGTCCTCATTTGAACAAAATTTAACATTGTTAACTCTCAAAATTTTAACATTATTGTCAGATTATTGATTTTCTTATTAAACTTTATCTCTATTTCAATTATCAAATTTATTTCTTAAGTAATGATTAAAGAACCTTAAAGTTCTATCCTAAAATTATTAAGAATTAGACTAGCCTCTTACGTACAAAATTTGTTGATTATGTTATTTTATAATGAGTTGAGTTTAGAAAAATCGTTTTTTGAATTCTCTGTTCTCGTACATCACCTCCATATGTACCAGGTCCATGAACAGAATGGGCCGGATCCATGATCATGAGAGTGGCACCACTCAAATAAAAAAATTTTATTTATTATATTATTTTTTTAAAATTTTACATATTTAATAAGACTATAAATTCATTAATTTTTTTTTATAATTTTATAAGAAGTGGGATCAAAAGTAGATTTTATTAAAAAATTATATATTAATCATATTTATTTTTTTTATATATATTTTGAGGGAACAATTATTTAATTTTTGTTAGATATTTTTATTTTGAAGTATTAAATGAATGTATTTAATTTATATTTTTTTAATTTAATGTTAAAACTTTTACTTTATAAATCTTAACATATTTATTTTTTTAATTATTATTTTAATTATGATACCATTTTAAGAAAATTTCTGAGCCCGTCTTGTGATTCTCCTATAGAACCTTGGAGCTCTGTTTGAAGGGAAAAAATGAAGTTGCTTCGAGCAAGTTTTAGTTTGTGAAGCGATCCACTTCTTTACTTCCAATTTATGTATAAATTCCCTTCTTCGAATGGCAGGCAATCACCAAATACCGTAATTGATGCGCCGCTCGACCTTTTCACATGTAACGAGTCATCGAAGCTCTACCAAGTTGAAGTTGCAAGTTATGTCTGATGATTAGGCTACAAGTTTTTCCTTTTTACTATGTTATGATTCCGCGTGATCCACATTAAAGCAGAAGAATTTTATAAACAACTGAGTTAGATGGCAGATTCTCTTCCCTTTATTCTAAGACCAGCAAGGGGTTAATCTTGTGTGATTTTCTTAATCAAAATTCAGGAAAAAAAAAACCCTTCCTATAAGGACGTGTTGGTTTCCCTTTCTTACTGGCAATTCAGATTACTTGAAATTTTCCCAGTTATGCTTCTTATAACTACTTCAATAATGGTGCGATCTGACCTTGACAAGGGTCAGCTTATTGGGTTTGAGTGCCTGCATAGACATAAGGGAGGCTAATTGCTTTGGTAAGTCGAGGTGGGGAGCTGGAATCAAACAGAGGTACTCTTTTCCTCCTTGCTGTTTCTGGGCATTGGTGTTCTGGATCTAGGTTGTTACAGTTTGGAATTTTTTGTTTCTGCTGAGGCCGAATTCTGTACTTCTTAATTTAATTAAAATTTGGGGTCTCTTGTCGCTTCTGCCAATGAATGTTCAACATAATGCTGTTTTGAGGTTTGCTTTTAGCATTGAAACATGAAAATCTTTGAAAGCTGTGTAGCAGTAGGTTGTGGCTGCAGCTTGCCGCCTGCTTGTTTGATTCAAGTTCTTTTGGCAGATTAAGATTAGGAGCGTGTTGGGTGCTCAAGTTTCTGGGATTGGGTTTGTCAGTCTATTTTCAATTGCCTTTTGGGTTGTTTGGGGCCACTTGAGCAATATTTAGGCTACCCGAAGTGTCACCGTTTCATCAATTTTATTTAGAGATTTTGTAACTATATGCATTGATCCCCTAATAAATGATAGGTGTTTTCGAATATCCCCATCCATACAAAATCCCAATTAATGATCCCTTTTGTAATTGTATAGTTCAGGCTCTTGTTAAGCTAACTTCTATGTCAAAAGGAGTATTTTACCTGAATCACTTGATGTTTAAGACTCTACATGCCATTCTAGCCTTAGCCATCAATAAAATCCCAATTTTCAAAAAAAAAAAAAAGAAACCCATCCATACAAACGAACTCACTAAATAAATTTGGAACATAAAAACATTGCGGGCATGGATTGGAATTTCATAGCAAGCTATCCAAGGTTTCCTGCTGTTGGGATGAAATCCTCTGTCCATTCTTCAACGTCATCGAACGATTCAAAGCCCTGCCCTATTTTCTTCTTTCATCACTTCCAAAAGGAAAATCTCTGTCTTGAAACAACAGGCAAAGCTTCCCAAATATTCTCTTGATGGAAAGTCCAGAAATTTAAAAACTTTATGCTGTTCCTTAATTTCAATGATTCTGAATTTCGACAAAAAAATTCAATGATATTGTGATTGTTATTATTTATTAGACATCTGCTTATTTCAATCAATTTTTCCTGTTAATTCTAATTTATAATATATCGCAAAACCTAAGGGAATAACAAAGAAGTAATAAAAATGGAAACAAGGACAATAAAACAAACAAGTATAGTTATCTCATGAGTCCATCCGCAAGGTCAAGACAAGTTATTTAACAATGAAAACTCTGGTTGGAATTTTTCTACAGGCAACCTTTTTTATTACTAATTATGCTTCTGCGTAACAATAGAATCAGTTTCAAAAGCAGTAAAACATTACAATATTTCATCGACCGTTTCAGGTACAACGTACGCTAGCTAGTGGTTTGCTCCGCTTTGGAATTCCTTAGACTGGAGATCGGCGGTGTTTTGTGCAAAGCTAGCAACTATAACAGTTACCATTATGTTATTTACAAGTAAGTATCTTCAAGCATCGTCTCTGATCTCTGTCAAAATAAAAAATCATACTAGTAAATTCAAGCTAATTGCCTAGTTTTTACTAGTCTCACTCATTTTGATTCCCTGTTAATATGTTTTCTTGAATATGTAGAAAAGGGTGTTCCTTTGAATATCTGTATCAAATACCAATTTGCTAAACAAAAAAAATCTAAATATTCTTTTCAGTCGCTGCCTCTGTGATCTATGTTGAGTCCAAGGATTTTGTCTTAAAGAAGATATTATCAGAAATTGCAAAACGGTTTTGGGGGGAATGGGAGATCCGCTTGATGGTTGTGTTGAGCCTTATTCTCCAGCTATTTCTCGTCGTCTCTGGGTATATTCGACGAAAATACATAGGCAAAAAACTACCCTATGTTGCAATAAGTGTGTGGTTAATATACTTGTCAACCGATTGGATTGCCACTCTTGTTCTGACCACACTTCTTAAAGGTGACGTTAGTTTGGACAATAAACTGATTGTGTTCTGGACACCGTTCCTTCTGTGGCATCTTGGTAGCCCGCATAACATTACAGCTTACTCTCTAGAAGACAATGAGTTGTGGTTAAGACGCTTCTTTGGGCTAGTTTTTCAAGTTGGAGAGGCAATCTATATCTATGCAAGGTTTCGATCAACATCGAGCGCTGCAGTTAATGCTGTGGCTGTTCCAATCTTCCTTGCTGGAGTTATCAAGTATGGAGAAAGGATATGGGCTCTCAGATGTGCGAGTGACAAACAACTCGTAAATTCTTTTTTCTTAATTTCTGATAAGAAGACTAATGAAGGGAGAAAAACCATCAGAACAGGGCTGTTTGAAACTACGATTAAAGGTCTCTTTAAAGACAAAGGCGTCGTTCCTGAAGTTGAATTTCTTCGCCAAGCATATACATCATACATTGTTTTCAAGCCTCTTTTTACAGATCTCCCATTCCGGCTTGCCAGAGAGTTACATGATAACATGGTCTACATGAAGTCTCAATCTGCGGAAGATGCATTTAAGTTTGTAGATGTTGAACTTAGTTTCGTCTACGATCTATTCTTCACCAAGAATCCCATACAGTATCGTCATTTTAAAGTGAGTCTATGTCTCGGTGGCTTCTGTTTTCTGTCCATGGTCTGTTCAATGATTGGTTTCACAGCCGTTATGGATAGGAGCGAGCATTCAGCAATTGACATTGCCATAACCTACTTGCTGCTGGTAGGAGCTATTTCTCTGGACGTTTATTCATTCTTTATGCATGCTCTCTCTACCTGGGCCATGATCTGGCTTCCCACTCCTCGCCCCAAGGTGCATAAGTTGTACTCGAGTATTGCTGCTTATAGATTACAGTCTATTAAGGCCAGCTCGGGAATAAAATCAATGGCGCAACATGATCTAATAAAGTATTGCGTCAAGGCGAAAACAAGTAGGTGCACTGGATTCATAAGGCTTTTCGACACTGGCAACCTTTTACAGAAGTACGGTCATACCAAATGGAAACCAGTCGATCCTGATCTGAAGCATTTCATCTATACTCATCTGCAAAAGAAACGTGACAAGTGTGAAAAAAAAAATTTCAAACTCGATGAACTCGAGAAGTTGTTAAACGAGAAAGGTGACAACGTGTTCAAAGAGAAGTTCAAAGAAATGCTTGGAATGGATGCCGATTTGACACTATCAAAAGCGGAATTCTTGTCCATTTTCCCTAGAATGGATCCAACATATTTCATACGTAGCATCTTCCTTTGGCATATTGCTACGGAGCTTTCCTATTATGATGATATTGACAATCATCGAATAGGTACGGCCACTTCGTTATGCTATATTAGCAAGTCTATTTCTGATTACATGATTTACCTTGCACTTGTTCGTCCATCAATGCTGTCCAAAGGGTTCAGTGATGTGATAAACGGTAAAATTTACAAGGAAGCCCAGAGTTTCTTAATGGAGAAAATGAA